TCGACGATCCGCACCCTTCGAAACGTTTACTTAAAAGCATAAACGCATCTCAACCGTCTATATACAAAGTGCCAAAAAGAAAATCCAACGGCTAATAAATGCACCAAATCATCAATCCGCGTCAAAATCCTACAACCAATAATAAGACGCCGTTCTTTTCTATATAATCTAATCTCAGCCCCAAATCCTCCCTAACTTTCTAACAAGAAGCATTTCCAATTTCGAATACCCTTCCACTTCTGCCTCGTTTCCATTTCCTAGAAATCCTCAGAATCAATGGCGCCAAAGGCCGAGAAGAAGCCCGCCGAGAAGAAGCCAGCGGAGGAGAAGAAGTCCGCCGTCGCTGAGAAGGCTCCCGCCGAGAAGAAGCCGAAGGCTGGCAAGAAGCTCCCGAAGGAGGGCGGAGCCGCCGCCGGAGACAAGAAGAAGAAGAGAGTAAAGAAGGGCATCGAGACCTACAAGATCTACATCTTCAAGGTTCTCAAGCAGGTTCACCCAGACATCGGGATCTCCAGCAAGGCCATGGGGATCATGAACAGTTTCATCAATGACATCTTCGAAAAGCTGGCCCAGGAGGCCTCAAGGCTCGCCAGGTACAACAAGAAGCCGACGATCACCTCTCGGGAGATCCAGACCGCGGTGAGGCTTGTGCTTCCCGGTGAGCTCGCCAAGCACGCTGTGTCTGAGGGGACCAAGGCCGTGACTAAGTTCACGAGTTCTTGAACAGAAAATCTGGCTCTGGATTGTGATCTTTAGGGTTAGGGTTAGGTTTCTATCCGTACATGCTGGCCTTTTGTCTTTAATGTCTTTTGGATATTTTTTTAGGGTTTTTGTATTTTACTTTGTATGCTCGATCCTTATGTTCTAATGATACAAATTGAAAGACTATAAATTGATATATCTGATGTTCCTCTAATTTGATCTCTGGTACTTCATGGAAATGAAATTGTAGAAATTTCCCTATGTTTTATCATTCGCTATCTTATTTTGTTTCCATCAGTGGGATTGTGGTAATGTGCTGCTTTGGTTATAGGAATTAAAATGTTATTTTCTTTGTTTCGCTTCTGTCATTGGTTTGTCATTACAATAATTCAAATTGAGACATTTCTGGGTTGCATTGTTTTTTAATCAAACGGTGTAGTGATTAAACAATTTCGTTTAAGTTATTTCCTATTATAATTCTTGGCGCCATATCGGAATTTTTTTTCTTTTACCAACGGAGTTCGAGTCTTGCTGGTAACTTGGATCTCATGTGTGGACTGGTTAGATTTCTTACGCAAAATGCTAAAATACGGCAGCTACCATCTAGTATGAAAAGTAAAACGACTTGTGAAGGATGAAAGACAATAACGATAGGAAAGCTAATCAACGACAAGGAAAACTGGGAAATCACATAAAAATGGCAAACGACGATAGCATTCAAAACCACAATGAAAGACAAGCAACCAGAAAAAGATTAAATTGGCACGAATTAGTGTATGAAGAAAAAGTTGACCATTTCTGAACGAGTAATTGGAAGGGAAAACATGGAAGGAAACTAGTGCTAAGTAAAGGCAAGGCCAGAAATGTTTCCCTTTTTCTTTTTGAAATTAAAACAAAGAAGTATTTTTTTTTTTTAAGGAAAAGAGTAGTTTTCTGTTTCTCAAAGTAGTCTGTTTTCGGTTTTAAATCTCTGACTACGGAGGCTCAACGCTATAAAATCCCCTCATATATTTACAAGTCAAGTTCTGAGAGAGCCCTCTGCGTTATTGGCTAAGGTATATTTCTTGACGCCTTGTGAATGTGATTTTCTTAGCATATAGAAGAACTTCTGTGGTGTAAAACTCATGTGATTAAGATTTTGAATGGAAACTCGAAACTTATTTTTCTTGTTTTTGGTCCAACAAATTGCTAGAATGCATTGATCAACTTGCAGTTTGATGTTATACTTATTCATTGGCAATTGCGGCGAGTTTTACATAAAACAATTTTCTTTGGGGTTAATAATTTGATTAGTTTGTGTTTATAATTTGAGTCTGAAAATCCTTCATGATGATGATGTAATGTTTGCGTTTGTTGCATCCATCCTGTTTTCTTAAAATTTTTTGCTATAACAAACTATCTATTCTTTCTTTTTTTTTTTTTTTTTTTTTTTTTTTTTTTTTTTTTTTTTCATATTATTGATTTTCTGTTTTTGTGTGCGAGTGTTTTTGTTCTTTAAAAAAAAAAAAAAAAAAGAGTTCATCAACCTTCCTTTCGTTCTTATTTTATTAGTTTAAGTGGATTTTTACACAAAAATCTTTTGATGGACACAAAACCTTAACAATACCATTTCTTACCTTTCCAATCAGGATTGATGGCCTATAACAGATTCAATGACTTTCTCATGCTTTTGATCTCGAAGTTTCCAAGAGCTTCCACGGTTGCTTCCCGTGCAACGCTACTTCCTCTGCAATCCCTCTTCCGGAAAATCATACATGTGAAACACGCGTGTCAGCTTATTATGTCCCGCAAAGTGCATTTCACAATGCAAAACCGTTGTCTAATATTTTGCTAGCTGATTCGCGTTTTGAGCAAGCACATTAGACGACGGTTTCTTATAAAATTGTCGTCTAATTAGAGACGTTAAATGTCAATTTTTTTGTAGCGTTGTAACTAATTTTTCTTGTATTTGGTCGAATATACAACTTATTAGCATGGATTGATCAACTCAATATTAATGCTGTACATAGACGAATGACCGTGTGACTTTTGCGGTCTTGAGTTTTTCATTAACAATTTTTCTTTGGGTTTTAAAAAATTCGATCAGTGTAATTATATTCAGTGGTTTTGATATTGCTACAAATTATATCCTCTTTTGTGTGTGTGTGTGTGCCAGTTTCTTTTTGGTGTCAAATTTCCTCATTATTCCGTTCTTAATTTATGAGTTCATGTGGATTTTATTCAAAATCTTTTGGTGGAGTTTAAACCTTATATATAATACAATTTCTTACCTTTCCTAATCAGGAAGATGACCTACAAGGGACTCAATGACTTTCTACTGCTTTTGACAACGAAGTTAGTGAACAGACTGAACAAAAACAAACGACCATGGGCTGATCATCCCGAGGAAATACTCGAGTCCATCATGGAACAACTCGGTTTTGCTGACCAGGTTCGGTTTCGAGGTGTATACAGGAGCTGGAGACTAATACATGGTATCAAGCCTAATTTCAAATTCCCATGGATTATTATGTACGATGACAAAAACGACGATAAATTTCCCATGCAACTCTACTGCCTCTACATTCCCTCTTCCAGAAAATCATACATTGTAAAGAACAAAGTAAAACATGAGTGTTTGCTAATGTGTAGGCTTGGATCTCGCGCCTATAACTGTTGTGGACTAATTTTCCTTTACAGGAAGTTGGAATGTAAATATAGATTCACCTACGGTCCAACCCTTCAAGCGTTAATTACGGTATATGCCGCGCACACCGACATGAGAAAGAACGATGAAATTGTTATAGAATCATGGCCTAGTGGTGAAAAAAAAATTGGGATAGGATGCATTTTAGGCTCACAGGTATTGATTGCAACGAGAGATTCTCTTTTGTATTAGAATCCGCCAAGGAAACTCCTTACTGTGTTTTTGCGAATGGAACTGTAGGTTCCTTCAAAGACAAGAAATGGTCTGTGCTCATAGACTCCAAAAACATCGAATCCTCCGATTTAAAACTAGTGAAATATCGAGTGCGTCGGATTCTTCCTTATCAACGCATGTGAGTGTGAAGGGGAGGTTTTCGCAGTGTACAAGAAAAATGTGGATGGGCTACATAAATGGCACAGTTTCAGGATAGATTGCTTGAAAAAGACATGGGTTGAGGAGGACGGCTTGGGTAAACGGGCAGTCTTTTCCTGCCGGTTCCCGTTATGGCATTTGCTTTATTATGCATTTATGCTTCCGGCTCAGGAACAGAAAAAGGATTTAGCAGGCCATATATTCTATGGTCCTAGCTATAAAAAAACTGATAGCTTCTGTTTGTTTAGATGCAATAAGGCTCCCGGTATAATATGTGATCACGATGATCAGCAGATTCAGCGAGAGGCGAATACACATGGGCATTTCGGTGGCCTCGTAAGGTGCTTTGAGATCGCAGGTCGTTTGAATACTCTCCAAGAGCCTTTTGGATCGAACCACCAACTCTATGATCCATCCACACATAATTCTAGTCTATTACAATAAAGAGTAATCATCAATGTATTTAGGTTTCCCCCTTTTATGAACCATGTGAGATTGAGAAACAGTTTGCTTTTTGAGGTTGAATGTTAGTATTATTGGATCTTTTCTGTTTGTTAAGGTTCATAACATTACTTTTTCTTTTTCTTCGGCTGCAAAAAAGCTTCATTAAAAAAAGGAAATAAAACAGAGCAATCGGCAACAAGCCGGTGGCAGGCCCACCAATATTTCTAGGAATTCCGTGCATAAAAACTGCTCATAATGAGGCGATTGAGTCTCCGTTGTTGAGAATGCAGTGCATTCATCACCTGATGGGTGCGGATCAAAAAAACGAAGAGGACATACACGAATTCCTCAAGGTCCATTTATTTAACGGATATTGAGCAACTGATGTTAAAAAATGATAAATTGCAAAGTTTTCCGGAACTAAAAGAAAAGGATTATAAATTGCATCATGGAGTTGGTGCTTCAATCCAATTTATAATCCTTTCTGCGTAGCATTTTGGTGTCCTGGACTTTCGTCTTTAATTTTGGAAGTTCCTTTTGTTATTTGGCCCTTCGTATTCATTATTGTTTCTTCTTCATTTGAGGTTAGATTTGTTGTTTCTTTTGTATTTGATTTCATGTTTAGAACCTTATTACACTAATAGCATGAAAGGGAGAGAGCTATCCCTAATGCGAAGTTCTACGATAAAAACGGTCAAAGACCCACGCCAACATAGCGCCAAGCGGGGGTGCTTAAATTAAGATCAAAATTCATGCAAACCCAGAGATTATTAAGAGAGAAAAAAAAAAAGAACTATAAAATATTTGATTTCCTTGACATTAAAGAAATTACAAGACAGTTGTATCCCAGTAGTATAGGATGACTAAGAAGAAACAAAAAAACGTTGTGTAAGGCGGAAGCTGGATTAAAAAATTGATATAACTCAATATATGAATTATAAGCTTTTGTTCATGGCAGATATCTGAATTGCTCAAGGGCCTCGACATTCGGACCGCAGCTACTGGAGGCTAAGCCAAAATGGCATGAATCCCATAGGCCAATACCCAAAAAAAGGATGAAGAAAGGGACTTCTCAAGTAAACAACATTTTGTCTCGCAGCACTTTGTTCTACTAAGTTTACTAAGAAAAAACTGGTGTCATCTTCAAAAATCTTCAATGAATCTAAACCAAAGGAATGCACACTCCTGGAAACGGATTGTATAAATAATCTATGTGTATGCAATTATAAAGACAAAAATAAAAAGGTCACGAGGGTTTATACACGTTCAGCATGACAAGTTTCAAGCACCCTGAAAACGACAAAAATAAAATATTTGACAACTTACCAAGTTTCATCATATTGGAAGAAGTGGTGCTTTCTCATCATATTCAACACGATGACTAGCCTGTAAAATAAAAAAGAACTATGAATAAATCCAATTCATCAAGACAGACCTAACAAAAGAGGATTCAGAAAAAAGGACTGGTCAGTTGCATATTCTTACATCCTCATTTGCCCCAGCTGCCATATTTAGGAAGCGTGCATCCTTAGACCTGAAAATTGAGAAAAAACAACACGTGGGGTTATTAACCGTTTACAGAATTTCTAAAATAAAAATCAGCTGGTGTCCAAAATGACATAACTTAAGGGCCCATTTGGGAAGTGTATTTGAACCATGATTTGGGTTTTGTATCAACTTTTTTGTAAGAGAACTATTGGCGGAAATTTTTTTTTAATTCAAATTCTTTGTGAGAGGAAAACATTGTAGCAGAATCATGGTTTGAGTTTTAAGTATATGTACCAAACAACCGTGAGACTTTAAACAGAAAAATGGATCAAAGCATGAACAAGGATGAATGTTACTTGACAAACATGAACAAGGATTTTCAGGAACATTGGAAATAATTATCTTAATCCATCATACAAAAAAAATTCGCTTCTTCTCCACTTATTAGTTTATTAGATTAAAGAGAAGTACTACAAAAATTTAAAAAAATCCTCATAATTGTATGAGAAAATTAGTAAACTCACCATTTGAATGCTTGTTCTAAGATTTTACCCTTTACTCTTGATTAATACCGTTTTGACTAATCTTTGACTAAAGGGTATTACTTAAGAGTAAGGGGTGAAAATTTAAGACCCATGCATTCTAAGGGGTATTTGTCTCCTTTTCCCTAATTATATAGTACGTTATAAAGCAGGAGAAAAGCACACCTCTGATTATTCTGCGCGTCGATCATTTCCACGTTACCATTCAATGGTTCATCTTTGACCTTTGAAAGTGGTGAAAAGAACTGTACAGAAGCAGATTTAAGTATAAGGGAATTTGCAAAGCAAAACAAAAAGTCTCATCTCCCTCTCTTTCTTCTCACCCTAACATTCTCTTGAAATTACCTGATGCATCGATATGAACACAATAGAGATTCCTAAGATGAAGTTCATAGTCAGCTTATGACCAAACAACAAAGCAGATCCTATTCCCGTAAAGATCGTGGCAACGGTTGATGAATACTTTTTCAAAATAGTATCTGTAAGCACCATAAGAAATTCTGATTTAGACAAAGCACAAGCAAAAATGTTAAGAAAGCGGGCACATCAGCATGCAAAAGGAAATAATAGGTATATCATTATCAAATGAGTTAAAAAAGGTACAGCACAAGACTCAAAGTTCATTTTCAATCGCCTTTCTCCTTTTCTAATGGTGTTGGTCTTTCTCAAAGTTGTCCTTGGGTGCAGATATGTGCTGCAGGGTTAAGTTTGATTCTTCGACATCAAATATTATCCTAACATTTAAGAGTATCTGGTATCCATAGGCCTACCATTGTCGTGTGTCCTACTAAATACTAAGACTAACACAGGTATGCCAAGATGAAGTTATCTAGGGAGGGAAAGACAAGTAGACTATACTCAAGTTTCTAATATTTTCTATAATTAAACGCTAACAGAGGGAGAGTAATCACAGACAACAACCATTAGATGCCATTAAAGAGACTCTGAAGTTTCCAAATTTGATTGTAATAACTCCACAGAAATTTTAAGGGGGAAATGAGAAGTAGAATAAAAGAAATTTAGTATTCACCTGCATATTTGAAAAAGAATGATGATAAGATTCCTTGGGCTGCATTATTGCAAATTAAAAGAATCGTAGCCTTCGAATGTCCTTGAAGTATGTCCAAGCCACCAGGACCTTGAAATGGTAAAACAAAATAAATCATGAACTCAAACAAGCAAATATGAAATATCAAACTAGAACAAGATTATAAATTAGCGTGTTAAAAGTGCCCTAACTAAAGCATCAAGCTTCGTGAGATACAATTTTCCAAAAAACAAGAAAAAAGAAAGAGCTTCATGAGATACAACATTTCTGTTCACTTCATGTATACCTTTGAAAATAGCCATTCCAAGAATTGCCAGCAAGTTGAATATAGCACCATAACCATATAGAAACAAGTTCTGCAAATTACACATAGAAACTACCGCATAAGATTACACAAACTGGTGAAACTATCACAAGAATATAAACCTTTTAACATGAAACAACACAAACAGAACATCATATCAAGCATGGGAGCTTGAAATGTATTGCACGTCAAAAAATCAAGGTAACGCGAAATAAACCTAGAGACACGTCGTGGACCTGTGGTCCAACACCTATATTATTGCAAGTGATCGAATATGTAACCGAGCTGGAGAATGTGCAAGTGTTGCAGAATATAAATTAAAAGGTGAATACTTGATATAAATCAAGTTTTTCCAATTTCTGCCTTTAACCTCCTTTCTTTCTCCTCAATATGAGCCAATAATACCAAGTTGTTTTTGCACAAGATAAAATAATATAGAAGAATATTGGGATGAAAAATAGCCAGAAGACCTTGAACAAGATAATAGAATTTAGAAGATTGGAACACTGCTAGAACCTTACCTGAAGGTAAATGCTTGTATCAAATTGACTTTTCAAAGCATACTCATTATATACTGATGCCAGCGATGGAACAGTTACCTGTAATAATATCATTTTGAGTTGATGTTTTCTACTAATGCACATGAAATATTGTAAACAAATACATCAAATAAGCTACTGGGTGTGATGTAGAATACAAACAGTTTGTAAAAGCAAATTGTTGAGAAATAAAACAAGACAGAGCAAACGCCCATCCTTGAGTTAAATACGTACAAATATCAACGTGTACAAGTAAGCGCCTGTTGTTATTGGAAGACCTAAAACAGTACTACCCTCGGGCATAGACCGCAGTTGATTCACACTAATGCCAATGAGCAAAAGGGCAAGAGCCTCCCACTGTTACAAAATAAGGAAGAAAAGATATATAAGAATGACAAGGCAAACATTCAGAAAGTCGAAAAAACAATACGAATTAGTAGAACATTCTTCCAAACCTGAATTATAGAAAACCGCCGCCTCATTATCATCTTTAACAAAACAGCAATGACCAAAACCTGCATAAGTTCAGAGCACCTAGACAGTTATAAGAATGGTAAACGAAGAATACAGATATTATGTATGAACAAGCACACGAAAAGAAACAAGGAAAAGCTAGATTAATCTACTGTATCAGCATGGTTGTAGTAAGCCCAATCAAATAACCTGCCGAATAAAGTACAAACTCATACTTGATAACTGATAAAAGTTGTTTGACGTGACAACTACAATCCAAATACTCCTACTCCTACCCCACGGGTAAGAAGGTAATTGATCTTGTAATCAAAGATGCGCAAGAAAATAAATGTTTAAATAAATCACGGTTTAAGATACCTTCAAGTTGCTAAGCATCTTCACAGTTGCAGGGTTAAAATAAAGCTGCACAAGAATCATAACAATTAAGATTGAAAATTGGTCTTAATGAAGCATTAACTTATTGGTATAGATTCCATTAAAAACTATACCTGCATAATGAACTTTAAATAATTATTAATAGCGTAAAGAAAAGCAGGAATGGCAAGAAGCACATTGTTTCGAGCTGCCTGCAGAGGGGAAGAAAAACAAAAAAATCTTGAGATCATAGTTTAAGTAGACCAAAGCAAAAAAATCTTGAGATCATAGTATAAGTAGACCAACGGCTTGGACTAATGCCACCCACAGCTTATGACAAACATAAAGAAATTGACACAATCTACTATAGGATAGGAACTATTAAAAGGTATGAAAAGCTGTTGGATTGAAAGACTTAATGGTGTCCGGAAAATTCTTTGGAAGTTTCAATAAACGATATTCATGCTACAAACACGCATTTTGAGTAACTTCAACTTTCATTCCAGAGGATATCCAACAGGAGCTATTCTTTAACGTGATTTCCACTATTTTCTTAAATCAGAAACTGTATTGGAAGAACTTGTGGTGATATCAATTTTTTTTCCTTACCTGTACAAATGTAGAAACAGATAGAAGAGACTTCTCCCCAACTTTCTTATTCCGAGCCTAAAAGTGAAAGTTTCCAAAAAAAAAAAAAAAAAAATGATGATAAGAAACAACAAAACTGGTGCTAGCCAGCCAGCCACCCATGAAAGCAATCAGATTATCTGATAACAAAATGTATAATTACCTGGAACAAAAGCATAATAATAGCAAAAACAACTTTTGTTGCCTCAGTTAAAAAGTTAACGCTGATAGGACTGAACTTGTATTTCCCATCCACTTTACACATATAAACCAACAGAGGCTGCAGAAATAGAATGAACATAAGTAAGCAGTTGAAAAATTGCTTAAAACTTCAGAAAAATTTTTAACCTATGAGGGGGTTCTCATGGTTTGCTATGACTGTGTTTGCACTATTTGCTCCTATAAATATATATATATATATATATATATATATATATTTCTACCGACCATAATTCTCCTGATTGAATGCACAAGGAAATTTTGAAACTAAAATATAGAAAAAAGAAAAGTTTTAACTGAACAGTCTTCTGTGTTGTAATTCTAGCATGCCAATATTTTGGCCTACATAGGCAGGACATCATATACCAATATAAAGTCAAACAATGTCTTCTCCAAATAACTTTTTCAATTTAGATTAGATAAAACTAAAGGAAAAGGGATTGCTTCATCACCTGCAAACCAACAAGGATGCAATCTCCAACAACCAAAAGGATGTTTAGGAACCGGGTCTTTGAAGAGACATCATTTCTATGCCGGTCATAGGCCCTGGACACAGCTTTGGAATTTGGGGACAACAGTTTGGAGCGACAAACACTGCATTCTATCATCCCGTTCATCCAGCTGTACACTGGATCTTACTCCAAAATCTGTACTTACAACCAATCAAGACTTTCGAATTTCAGAAGCAGCAATAGTTTCAATAAGTGCACAAAAAGTGTCAAATATATAGATAAAAACAATCGCTTTGAACAACCATTGGCAGACGATCAAAATCTAATTACTCTGCCAAGTACGGAGAAGTGCCTACCATACCCACATGCATTAATATTTGTGGTTCTTGATGCGTATAAACATGCATAAATAAAGACACGACCAATTATCTCATGCTTTGTGCTTCTCTTTTGATATAGATTCGTTCTTCTTTTAGCATAAATATGCTAAAATCCCAATAAGAATGTTATATTACTCCATACACTATTAATAATACTAGAGATTTGGGATCAAGTTTGCCTCTTTTGTGGGTGTTCCACAACTTCACCACTCAATCAAAAAGAATATACGCACAGACCATGTATACATACATACATATATATAGATATAAATATGTATATATATATATATATATTCAAACACACATACGTATATAAAGAGAGCTAAATGGTCATCCATATGTTTAAATTTAGATAAATTTTACATGCATCAATTTAAACGTCTGCAGCCACGGAGAGAAACAGAGATTCGTAGAAATTATGAACCAATCGAGCTGTGTAGAATACATATACTACAATATTAAACTTTTCTCAACTGAATTCCAAGAACAACAATTTAAATGATTTGCAGCTAAAATAAAACAACAGAGTCGGTCACAACTCGTATTAAGAAGAAAAATCATAAATTTCCAGAATAAACCCAAAATCCATCACCAAATCAATGAAAAAACAAAAAAGAAACGACGAATCAGAACCAAAGAGCAGTACCGGTTGAGAAATTCAGGAAGAGCG